AAATCATTAAATTTTGTGTTCTCTAAGGATATCTCTGGAAAACACATGCGCTCTAAGTTCAGAGAATACATTTTTAATCTTCTTAATTGTACAGAAATAAACAAAGTAATCCCCCCTAGTTTAAGGGACAATGAGTTACTTATTTTATACGAAATAGAAACAATTAAACAAAGACAAAACTTTATTTCCTTCAACCTTTCAGTACTGTATGTGTGAATGAAAAAGATCAATAAAGCCAAGAAAATATTCTCAAGAAAACACCATGAACTGATTTTATTGTTATTTAACAAACTAATAAAACTACTGTCTTGGTTTGGGCTGAAATAGAGTTAATATTCCTTTTCAGGGACTAGATGAGTGCTGTGTTTTGGATTTAGCTTTGGGTTTGGTATGGGAAGAATGCTGATAGCACACTGATGTTTTCAGCTGCTACCGAGACTTCAAGGACTCTCCAACTCCTCATGTTCTGCCCGTGCGCAAGGGCACAGGGAGCAGGGAGGGAGCACGGCCACAGCACCTGACCCTAACTGGCCAGTGAAATATTCCATATCATGGAACGCCATGCTCACTATATAGAGGAGGGGTGGTTGGAAAGGTTCTCTCTCGCTTTCGGGATTGCAATTGCGGGATCTTGGTATCTCGGGGTCGCCGGCCGGGAACGGGCTGGGTATTGGTCAGCGGGTGGTGAGCAATTACGCTGTACATTGCCTGTTTATATATTTCTTTTTTTTTTTTTTCCCCATCATCGCCATTGTTCTCATTTTATTGCCATTATTCAACTGTTCCTATCTCAGCCTGCAAGTCTCCCTTCACCCCTCTAATCCCCTTCCCCATTCCCAGGTGGGGAGGGGGAAGGGAGGGTGTTTAGCTGCGGGGGTTGGCTGCCGATCAGGCCCAAACCACAACAACTACCTTGATTGTTTCCATTCACATATGTAGTATAATAGATATAGTAGTAGGATGATAAGGAAGTTTCATTCAGAAAAATTGAAATATTGTAATAATTCGGATTATTGCATTATGACTTATTTGATTTCATACATCTCATTAATGGTACACTACGAATAATGTAGTTTGCATTGTTTCTTTACATCATATCAATGTAAATGATATAAACATGGAAAATATAACAATGTTTAGATTAAGTATACTGGTTTCAGATTAGTAATTCAATAAAAAGTATACAACTAGACCAGCCATAGTCAAAATTAAATTCTCAGTAAAATTCAATTCATAGAGTATGTGTACCCTTGTTTCAGGGATATCAAGGTGTCAATTCAGGATCAAATGAGCTCTTGATTTGCTCAGGTTCTGATGTATCAGTTCAAATTCTGACATGTAGTTAAGTCATCTGATGAAAATACAGAAGTACCTTTTCTGTGTAAACATGAGGTTTTGGTAAGAACATGTGGTTCTGTGGCCACCACTAACTGAGCAGTAGAAAGGGCAAAGCAACAGGAACAAGGTTAGAGAAACAGCACCCTCTGAGCAGCCTTCTCATTTATACAACTTCTGCAGACAAAACAGGAATGAATATTCAGTTTATCCAAGTCATGGATTTTTCATTAATAATTTTTGATAGGTATTTGTGTACTGGCAGGAGAAAATATCACTAGAAGTTTTGTTTTGTTTTTAAGAATTCATGCATACTTGTTCTCCAACTGATTTAACTCCAACTATTTTAGCATTTGCTTTTAATATTCAGGGTTTTAATGAATCAATCACAAGATAAAAGGCAATTTTTTTGACCTATATACAAAGTTCAATACAAGTCCTCTGATAAAGGCAGTTTAAATTATGCATTTAGCCTTATATAAATGATCTCATCTGGGGATCCAGATATGCTGCAGGCAAAAGTGGTGATTTCAGCATCTGTAAGCGTATGTGAACTTTACACTAGAAACCCAGTCACCCTTCACATTTAAATTACAACAGCAGAGAGCTCAATTCAGCCTAGCTACTCAGCAGACTACCCGGGACTGTTATCAGTAGTTCACTGTTAGAATCAGAGGCAAATCCTGTGCTATCAATGAACTTGTTTACCAGCTCCAGACCTAGCTAACCAAAAGATCACTCCCACATACGTGTAAGAACTCTACTCATGCCTCTTGGCCATAATATAGCACACCTGCTGCTGGACCCTGCTGCGACTACCACGGGTCTTCCCACCTAACTCTGCTCTGTGCTGAGTGATGGGGAAGCAGTGACGCCCTGACCTGCATGGCTGAGTGCCCTACAAGAAGATCCCCCAGAGGCCATTCTACAAATCATGTCACCAGTGCAGAGGAAATACACTCATTTCACAATTTGTTATTATCAATATATTACAAGTCAAGAGTTAATTGAATGACATCACTTTAATGTCTGTGTTCTTTCAGAGGGGAATGAGTAAATTTGCTTTAAGAGCAAACTCTCCTTTTAGAAAATAAATAAGTAACATACGCATATAAAGGACTGCAAAGACATCAGCTTCAAATGACTTTTCGATTCCAGGGTATATTTTAACTCTCATATACATCAAACATAAATCATTATTGCTTCCATGGAAGAGGCAGAGAAAAGCATTCTCCTCTGTATCAGCCAACGTAAACACTAATGGCTGGGAAGCAGGAGAGCTCTTTAGAATCCAGTCTGTATTGACTAGGTCTCTATTGACTATAATGAGAGCTCAGAAAACCTGGCTCACGTTTAGAAATCTATGGCACTGAGGTCAATTCTGTAAGTGACAAAACAGCTACTGTCACATGAAGATGCCACACGCCTGGGGAAACATCATGCAAGGACATTAAGCCGTGAAGCTTAACACAGCTCCAGAGGGTTTTTTCATCATTCCCTCATGACATTCACATTTGCATACACAAGTTACTGGAACTTTAGAACAACTACAGAGCAATTTGGCAAAAGACTGAAACATGAACCTAATTCACAAGCACAGCAAGATGAGACTCAAGTCTATATACGTACCACATTTTTATCTAGGTAACAAGTGGTTTAATGTTAATAGATATAAGTAGACCTGTAACACCAAAAATATTTTAGTTGAAATACTTTGTCCAACTAATGTCCAACTCTATCTCTTCTCTTCTGCTGGTTTGAGGGCACTTACTGACAGGTCTATCTGTTTTTCATGAGTTTCACGGGATTAGTGTGACCTTGTGTTAGGTTATTGGTTGACTTTGCATCCTGTTCCTTTACAGTAGTTACATTTGTTTGCATTTTTTTCTGAGATTTGTTAGCATCTCCGAATGAAATTAGGACCCTACTTGAGTCTCATTACTCTCACTTGAAACAAAAGTTTCTATGTTTAATTTAATAGAACCTATGTTCTGCAATATGAACCCTTGTGCAAGCAAATATCCCAGATCATAACTCACACAGTAATAGGACATGGAAAAAAAATAGAAACCATCCACCTTCAGAAAGGAACTAGGAAAAATGCACAAACCATGACTAATATTCTGCAACCTCTAAGAAAAAGTATTCTCCCTGAAAGATTATACAGCCTGGAAATTTTACAACAATTTCATAAAGTCTACATACTGGAATATTCATACTAAAGAGGTTCGTGATTTAGGCATGATTTTAAATGGATTTGTTGTACTAGGTATTAAGGTCTAACAGAACCCTTGAAATATTTAGATGTAGATAAAAGACAAAGTATTCTAGTTGATTTAAATATTAGAAGATTACAGAAACTACTTCAGGGGTGCTCACACCTTTTCATGGCAAGGTGTTATAGGAAAAAATATACCCACTAAGTTCCCTTTTTTAGATGTCTTTTCAATTTTAGAAGGCAGAATCTGGCCTTATTGATTTACTCTTGGTAGCAGTGTTTGGTACTTAAATGGTCATTTATGTACATATGCATTGACTGTTGCGTTATTTCCCCCCCCTTTAAAATTCTGATCAATATGAAAGCTATCATATTTGTGTTTACTTAGAAATAGTTAATTACCAAATGTTTGATTATAGGTTCATCTTAGATAGTTATTAACATTTTTAGCTACTATTATAAAAGAAACATAAACAAGATTTTGTAACAAATTGTATGTATGGTGAGTTGTAAAGTAAAAGATATCTGTTCAGTAAAGTGATTACAATTCAGCATTGTTGGGGAATATAGTTAAATATTACAGAACTTTTTATTATCTAGGACAATATTGCTACTCTGTTAGACGTTGAAAAATCTTAGCTTTACAGAAAAATAGGACAGAGACTACTTTACACATTTATTAACACAAGACTGAACTAATTAAGAGAAATGGTAAACTGTCATGTTATCATTTATGAATGTACTAGAGACTTTTTTTATATATACATTGGAGACAGATTTCAACAGATAGAATTTTCCACGGAGACATTTAAAGTAAACAAACTTTTAATTTCTGTCAAATTTTGCAGTATGCATATTAAAATTCTTTGCAGATGATTGACTGAAAACATTCCTCTCTGATCATAGGTCATCACTTGCATGGTAAAAAGTACTTAAGAGATTTCCAGTATTTCAAAATTATTTTTTTAATTCATTGATGGTATTAATATAAACAGTATGACTGAATCAAAATGAATGAGTTAAAATGAGCTACACCGAATTTATGAATAAATAGTATCTTGATTTTCTTTTTTCCTCTGTAACAACCTGCTGCTATATGATAAAGCAATTACATTTAAGTGACATTAAAAATTGTTTGCTTTGAAAAATTAAATCCTATAGACATTATGCAGTTTAGCAAGATTGCCTGTACATAATGAGGAATGCTTTGATCCTCTTTTATTTGCAATAAGACATTTCTCTTAAGAGGCAAGCAAGATTTCAGAAAAAAAAAAAAAAAAAGTATCAATTTTGACATGAAGGAAGCTTTCACTGTTCAGGTATTCTCAAAGCAAACCTCTACTGATTGATAACTTAGGAGGTGTAAGAATTAAACTTTGTAGTTTGAGACTGATGAGATTAATTTACATTAGCTGTAAATTAAGAAAAAAAGATGAAATCCACCTACCTTTCGGGAATCGATTTCTTTCACGTATAGTGGAAGTAGAAATTCAGATATTCCTTCAAGCCGTATTCCTTTTTTAGTGACTCTCAAATTTCCCATTCCATCCTACAATCAATAATATATATATATTCACTTTAGGAAATAAACTTATCCAGAACAAGCTAAATAGAACACAATAGCTGGCCTAATACCTAAAAATAATGAGTGCTGTCCCACTACACCCAGATCTCCTGATGATCTTGGACAGGAGCTAGATGGGGGGATTTATATGCTAAGCTTCACCTAGGATCTAGGTATTTACTGTGCAGCCTGATGGTGAACTGCATACATTATTCCTTGGCTGCACCTAATGCAAGGGTAGAAATGTAGACCATAAATACTCCTTTACTGTGGAGGTGAAGGTAGATCTTCAATTACGACTGTAACTCAAACAGTTAACTATCCTTAAAAATATCTACACATTTGGTAAAGCAATCTATTATTTTTATGTAGCGAAATATTAGAAAAAAATATGCCATTGTTATGTCTTGAATCAACTGTTTTTGCTTTTCCCATCAAGTAAAATACATAGAAAAAAATCCTATAGGGAGAAAGAAAAAGGTTTTTTTATTAGTAGTTGCTCATCACTAAGAGCATGCTGCTGGTGAAAAGTACTTCAAAAATGCTGAGGGTAATTTTTGTTTGTTTGTTTTAGTTTATCTGAATAGAAATAGAAAAGGGGCTATCCTGAAAGTCTGGATGAAACTATCAAAGCAAATGAATCAGCGTTCAATAAAACATAAGCACAGCAAAGTGGCTTAATAAGGCTTCAGCTGTTTTCTTACAGGAAAAACAATGAAACCTGCTTGATACTTAAGAGACAGGATCATTTTGCACACTGATAGAAATTCAAGACTTTTTATCCCTGGATGCTTGTTACTATATTCCTGACAGAAGATAATTCTTCCCTGTACAGCCAGTGGAATTTAACTTAGTCCATTTAAGTGAAAAGTTAGCAAATTTAAGCTATTTGCTGATTAAATGTTTTGAAGCCATTTCTGACTCTAGTGTAGCAGAACAGTGAGAACTTGCATTTCTGCTCTCTTGGCTGAATTGTGAAACAAGTAACCTTCGCTTGCTGGGCAGTCGTAAACAGCCAGTAATGGTGCCCCCAACTGCTATAGCTGAAGCTAGGAGATGACACTGAATTAAACATCACACTTATCTAAAGATAGTGTAGCCACTATACTGCTATAGCTATTCCCTTTCTAAAAATAAACAATGATGCCACTATGGCAGATATTAGATTGACACCACTGCATCCACATCTGAAGCAAGACTGTGAAAATGTTAATTCTTTACGACAACTAAAAGAATTACATTTTATACAATGTAATTCAGCTGGTATCATTTCCCAAACATGACAAGGATATAGTGATAGATAGCTTTCCACACCATGACAGATTTGCAAAGAACATGCCGTTGGGAATCATGCCTTCACATGTCAGCTATAGGACTAGAAGCCTAGATGCCTGTGACTACAAAACCAGAAACCACCAGAGTCAGAAAATAAATATAACTCCTTTCCAAAGCAGAGAAAATATGGAATAACAAAAGTTACTGCTAAGGCTACCTATAATATAGAATATACATGTTAAAATAATATGGCACCAAGAGAAATTTACAGACTATAATAGTCCGAATAATGTTTAGCAAAACTTGTAACTGATCACATAAAGCCAAGAACTGTCTTTTTGTTAGAAAAAGTGCTATTTGTATTCAAACTATGTGTCATGGTTTAACCCCAGCCAGCAACTGAGCCTCACACAGCCACTCGCTCACTGACCCCTGCAGTGGGATGGGGGAGAGAATCTGAAGGATAAAAGTGAGAAAACTCGTGGGTTGAGATAAAGACAGTTTAATAGTTAAAGCAAAAGCCGCGCACACCAGCAAAGCAGAACAAGGAATTAATTCCCCACTCCCCACAGGCAGGAATGTGCTCTGCCATCCCCAGGAGAGATGGGCTCCATCATGCATAATGGTTATGTGAGAAGACAAACACCACCACTCTGAACATCCCCCCTCCTTCCTTCTTCCCTCAGCGTTATATGTTATGGAATATCCCCTGGGTCAGTGGGGGTCAGCTGTCCCAGCTGTGTCCTGTCCCAACTTCTTGTGCCCCCCCAGCCCACTCGCTGGTGGGGTGGGGTGAGGAGCAGCAAAGGCCTTGGCTCTGGGTGAGCACTGCTCAGCAATAACTAAACATCCCCATGTTATCAACACTGTTTCCAGCAGAAATCCAAAACATGGACCCCTACCAGCTCCCGTGAAGAAAATTAACTCTATCCCAGCCAAACCCAGTACACTATTACAGCTGAATTATCAAATAATGTTTCTTGAAGAAGTGATGTTATATTTTTCTTAAATCAATATATGAAATGTCTATACAAATCATTGCACATATAAAAACTCAGGAGTTTGTCGATTTTCTAACAAAGACTGCAATATGAGACAGTGGTGCTTATTTTTGTAAAGTAAGATAAAAACATTATCAGACTTTTCTTTAGAATGTGCAATCTGCATTAATACCCATTAATTCTCAATTTCAGCAATCCTATTTTTCTATATATGTTAAAGTAATAGCATATAAAATCATAATTGGAAAGAATAACCTGAGAAAAGGCAACAACCATGTTATATTTTTGGCAGTGAATAAATACTCAACAAGAACTAAGTACTGATTTATTGATTTAGATATAACACATTTTCTAACTGAAAGGCAAATTCAGTATGTTGTTTATCTGCTTCTGTGGAATGTTTGTAATTGAGGGGAAAAAAAAAAAAAAAAGAAAAAAAAAAAGTGAAAAAATACAAAGTCAAATTTCCAGAAAACTGGAAATGCTGAAATTAAGCTTGCCTAGGAAAATTTCATCTGTTCCATCTTGCATGTATGTGTTTGATAAAGTCTAGAATTACACGTAATATTTACCCTCTTGAATCCCAGCTAATTCCACAGAAGGTTGGCACTGCTCTTAATTGGCAGCTACTATTTTGCTTTCACCTCATTATTTTCTTTGCTCCGCATTTATTGTACTCTTTTAAAACCCTGCTTTGAAGACAATACTGTCAGTTTTTCTCTTGGGTTCTGTTCTGATAAGTGTATATTACTGAAGTTACACAGTTCTTCAGAACTATTCATTAATTTTCAAAACACTTTCAGTAGCTTTATGTCAAGTGATACTCTTCTTATGTTACTGAAAGGGAACTGAAGCACGGAAATTAATTTGTTCACTAATTTTTGGTACTTATCATATTTTCCCTGTTTACTTTCAGCAGTGGGAAGTTAATTTGCAAAGCAAGTTTAAACTGCCAGAGTCTCAGAAACAAAGTGACAATAGTGCCTACTGCATCCATATGGGCTTCCCCTTTTCTGAGTGAAGTTTCTAACCTCTTATTCTTCAGTTCTTCAGCAGTGAGCTATGCACCTCCCAGAGCCCAACAGTTTGAATGCAGACAGACTCTGGGACAGACAGAAACACTCTAGTTTCAGTAAAATTACATTATTCAATGCGAGAAGACAGACACTGCATTCTGGAGTGTAAGCCACAAATGGTGTTATAAGATACAAAACTGAAATATGGTGCTGTGACCTTAATTGCTTGATAAATGCAATAATCTTCCAGAAAGTAACTTCCTGAAGAGTGTAATGACTGGTATGAAGACTGAATAGTAAACTAAAGAAAACAGTCAAACATAGACTATGACATATTCAAGGAATCACTGCCCAGTACTATTTCTGTATTAGTAACTCCCCATTCCATTTAAAAAGAGGTTGGAATAACAAGTTTTTTTTTTTTCATTGAATTAGAACTATGCTGTTATAGAGAAAAATTCAAGGGTTTTCAGAAGTAACATAACTTGGTTAAAAAGTTATTAGGATTGAAAAGATTAATCAGAGGAAGGTCCAGTCTTCTTGGTTCATTTAATGCACTTATGACCATTAAGATCAGTTTAACTTTGGGGCTCACCCAGAAAGATGAAAATTAATATAAAAGAGTTTAAAACAGAACCACACAAGAGTTCTGTCTTAAAACATACTTGCATCTCCCTGTAGATATGGTTTTGATGTAATGTTATTAGTATAATTCATTTTAGACATTCCATCTGTTAATTTCCCAAATAAACTCTCTAAATTACTTCAGGCTTTCCAGGCAATGAATACTTAGATTAGCATTTTGGTGTGATTTGATTTTATTCAAGTCCAAAAATACACTTGAATGAACTATTCCAGTACTTTCTTACAATAACCAAATGCTAAATTCACAGACTGGAACTGGCTGGGATGGAGTTATCTTTCTTCATAGAAGTCTGTATAGTGCTCTTTGTGTTTTTGGCTAAAACAGTTCTCATAACATACCGATGCCTTGACTATTGCTGACTTGTGCTTGCAGAGTCAAGCCTTTCTCTATTTTCCCTGCTCTTCCCCCCAGTAAGTAGAGTGGGGATGAGCAAGGATTTGGGAGGGGACACAGCCAAGACAACTGACCAAAACTGGCCAAAGGGATATTCCATACCTGTAACATGATGCTCAGCAATAAAAAGTGGTGGTAGAGGAAGAAGTGGAGGAGAGAATGGGGATTGTCTTTCAAGATGGCCACTGCCTGGAGACTGACTGGGCATCAGTCTGCCTGTGGTAGGTGATGAGTGATAGTCTTTGCATCATTTTATTTCCTCTTTATGATTATTTAATATTTTTTATTGTTATTATTCTCAGATTGTTATTCCATGTATAACTTTCCCCTTTATCCCTACAGGAAGATAAAATAAAGTTGCAGTGACCGTGCCTACCATTTTTTTCTTTTCCCTACTTATGACACTAAGAAAAACCAACCGCTCATCCTTATATCCATAAATATACTACTTTACAGATATTATTAAAAAATAATAATAAAATCATCACTATCAGTATTTTATGACATTCTTAGTTTACAATACATTTCAGTTATGAACACTACAAATTCAACCAAGCAGCTATTAAAACCTTAAAACAGGAAAACTAAACATTTATTTTATGCTGTTGCTTGGTTTACAACTGCAGCAGTCTAGGATTAGTTTTACTGAATATG